AGTGGCAATTTACTGTGGCATATGTGCAATCTCTTGGTACGATATTCCTTTCTATTCTATTGTCAAGTGAAGAAGATGATCTTCCTATGCTAACTGAACCTAGATTTCTGATCTGGGACAGAAACACACTTAGATTTTACCTTTGGGGAAGCTTACCAAGCAAGTATACGCCCATTGTGGTAAGCAGCAACGAGGTAAGTTATTGTATATATTCATTATACACAAAGTAGTCCTAAGCACACCAGCCTTTTCCTCATACAAGTATCTGAAACATTCTCATAGAGTCAATTTCTTACCAATCTCCTTTCCACAGGAAAGGATCCATGTTCTCTCCTATTCAAGTCTGTGACATTTTCTATTCATTGCTATGCCAGTTTTGACATATCTGGAGACAACACCATATGCATAAGTTGTGAAATGTTTTAACTGCCTTATTTTCATGCAGAATAATAGCAACAACAAACCAGATACTGTTAAAACACCCAGACGTTTGCCAAATGGAAGACCTATTTGTGGATTTGGTGTTTGCAGTTTAATAATTCATGCAAAACAAGCAAGTAAAAACTTGCACTGGAAGTGATTTCCTGAACAGACATCCAGATATATGCAGCAAAGGGCATTCAAAATTGCCCAAGTCAAGTGGCCACAGAGGAAGCAAAACCACTGAGGCAAAAAACTACTGCTTCATGCATGATGTGAGTATCTGTAGCAGGAGACCAAAATAAAATATGAAACATAAATATAAATTTGGGGAGAGGAACAACATAAGGATTCACACGGGCCTTCTACAATGATATCCTATTGAAATTCAAAACTCTATGCAGAAAAATCCTCAGTGGATTTTATATTCTCTAATACTTGCATACATTGATGCCTGAATTACCTTACATCCAAACTGACATATAAATACATTCAAAAGAAGCAATAAAATAAAATTTACAGCGGGGAACAGAACCAAAGCTTAATGATCACAAGTACCAAAATATCTAGAATAGTCATAGGATATGAATGGTTTCTATATGTATGAAATATGCTACTAGATAGAAAACATAAAAATATAAGAGTCTAAGAAAACACAAAAGTGTTTGTCTAAAGGGCAAGAAAAATTCTGAAAAAGCTTATTCAGGAGGAGACATTGGATAAGTCTCACTTAAAGCATCTTTAATAACTTAGCAATACCATGGAATTATTCTTCCTTCCATTAACAAAATTCCAAGGGGAAAAAATAAATGGCCCATCTTTGAGGGGGCTCTTTTGGGAAATGGCATAGATCAGGGGGATGCGGTGGCGCAGCGGCTTAATGACGCTGAAAGTTGCCGGCCAGAAATGGTCG